TAAAATTGAATTAAATTAGAAATAAATATGTAATTACTTTACTTTTAATGTAATGTAAATGAATAATGACTTAAAAGTAATAGAATAGGGTTTATAAAGAAATAAAATAGATTTCATTACACATCTGGTTTGTTAATGAAGTCCTCAGCCGCATCCCTCTTCATTAAAAATTCAAAGAATTAGCCCACTAAAGATCGACCGCTCTTAAGATATTAGGGTCAGTTAATCGGTGAATACAATCTGCAAAATCTACCACATTGCCTTAAGAAAGCTAGCACGCGAGTGTGAGGAACTTATTTCATTCGTATTTTCCTGTTTCGTTTTTCTTCACTTATGCTTTGTTTGATTCGTTTGGCAGGCTGCCACACTTTGACAAACTGCGGAAGAGCCCTTGTAAAGTCGGCAGACGTTGAAAGGAAAGAAAAAAAAACGATAATACGCCCCATAGTCCCAAACCAAAACCCCAGCCTGCGGGCCGCGTATTTTCCATTTTCCATACGAGCGAAAACTATGTCAAAACTTGTTTAGCTCCGTGAGCTGTTGCCGGATATGTTTGGCAACATTTTTAAGTGTTGCCCGCTAGCACGACTCTGTTTCCGTTTCAGTGCAAAGTTGATGCCCCCCTCCCCCCTGCTTCAATCACCAGCTGCAGGCAACTGGCAGCTACTTATGACCGACAAGGGCTGGCAGTTGTGGCTGCGAGGCCAGAAGGTGTGCGACTTTTGCCACCCATATGGTCGACCCTAATCCTATTACTTACATAAATGCCGTTGAACAAATACAAAGCGAGCCAGCTGGCACATCGTGTCAACATTTTATGCGTTCGCCGGCGCCCTTTGCCCATTTCCTTTGCCTCTAGATGCGTGCAGATTTTCACACCTTACGCATGAAAGGCCATCGAGCGAACAAAGTGCGACTACAACTTACGCACGGTTGCATTTTGTCACCTGTCGCATCATTCGCAGACACCGACATACACACAAACAGAGAGAGGCAACCCTGCAAAGAGCGATGACTGTACTTGCTGCTGGGTTTTTACTTTTTTGTTTGTTTTTGTTTTTAATGCCATGTTTTCTATGGTTGCTGGCCCGTCTTTGTTAAATACTTCTGGTATTTAAGTTTTAAGTTGGCCGCCATTTGTTATCGTTGGCATTGTTGGTCGCATTGTTTTGTTTTGCATTTATTTATGACAAAACACATATCGCTAAATTGCATTCTTGCAGCCATTTAACGTAATTGCATTAGACTCGTTTGACATGTTGCTTTAAAGTATATGTAATTGCACATATATATACTTAGGAGGAAAAATGAAAGAACAAATTATTGTTCCCTTTTAACAAACATTATACAAAATAATTATGAAAAGAGATATAGACAATCTTTGATAAATTAATGTTAAGTTTAAAAGATGTTAAGTTCTTTATGATCTCAAAAAAATTCTAGACTTAAAATTTTGAAAATTTTCATATTTTATAATCTTCAGAGCGAAGTTATGTCGATTTCAAATTTATCGATCGGGTAGGGGTTTTCCTATCGACATCAACATAAATATATATATATATATTTTTTTTTGTTTTTTTCAACTTTATTATATTTTCATTGATCAATAAATTTTTCTACCTAGTAACTTAGCGATGGAATTTGATATTTTGAAATTCTGTTTAATTCAATTTAGGATTCTCTATTAAACTCTTCTATTCATAAGTTATTTAAAATGTTTCGAATATTTTAGAAATATTTAAATATTTAACTTTGTAGCTTTTCTTATCATTGATTGTAGAATAGATAGAAATTATGTTGCTAGACTAACGTCCAACTGGTCCACACATTACGTAGGAGAGTAGCCAGCTCAACAATTGTGCCATTGTAAGAACTACAACTACAATAGCAGCAACAACAGCAGCATCAATATTAAGAGCTTCGTGTGTAATACAGATGTATGGGAAAAACCATTACCGAACCGAATGCCAAACGAGCGCTTAAGCAACAAAAGAAATCCATGAACGTGCCGCTTACAAAGTTGCCATGGTAGGAATGCAGTTCCAGGTTTACATTTTTCATAGTCACACCGACCCCTTCGCCCCCCTTCCACCCGTTACACACTGCACTACCAACTGCGAGCACAAATGCATTTTTTAGTGCTCTTCAGGGCAAAGTAGTTCGGGGTGTATTTTTTGCACATACATATATATATATATATATGTATAAGTATATGTTATATGTTTGCAAGTCTGTTTCATTGTACTTCGCAATGTTGCTGCAGGCGTAGAGAGCACTTTTTTATATTTGTTTTCACTCTGCCAGACAAAAAGTGCAGTTGTACAAAATGGTGGCACAACAACAAAAAGGCACAAAGGGAAGCTATGCAAAAGCATACAAAAAGGATTTATATTTCTTTACACACAAACACATCTACATACATAGTATATATGTATATTGAATATACAGCGAGAGTGTGAATAAAAAATGGAGTTTTGTTCTTAAATATGCCTGCATTTACATACTACATACATACATGTACTAGTACGAGTATGTTGATATATGCAAACATACTGCATAAGAACTTATCTGCGTTGTGCATAACTCCAGCCAGTTCTCTAGTATTTACATATGTTAAAGCTTATGTTTTAAAAGTATAAAAAAGGAGTACACTAAGTTAGGCATACTTCATTAAATAAAAGAAATAAACACGATTACCCTACGATCAGACAGGAAAATAATTTGCACGACAGATTAGTGTCGAATGTAACCATGTTCATGACATCATTAAAATTATATTTTCCCAATTAAAACTGCAAGGAATTCTTTACTCAAGTGTAATTCTGCCCCAAGTTGTTTGCAATCTAATTTTCAAAACCCTTCTTGAAAAATATGAAAAAATTGTGTATAAAACAAAATAAATTACATTTTAAAATAATGTACAGAATTGTTCAAAGTCAAATCAGACTATAGATCAGAGCTCACAGACCTGAATTACTCTAGAAACTAACACGTCAGACTTATTACAATTGACATAATCGTCCGTGTCGATTTAATCATTTATAAATATTTTTCGTTTTTTTTGCAGTATTTCTTTGCAAACATTCGAACGATAATATTTTAAAACTTAAAAAATGACAAAACGATTTTCAAAATGTATTCATAACGTTTAGTAATCCCAAATTAATATAAAATTAAAATACAACAATTGTATTTACATATGTATATACAGAATTAAATTAATGTGATTATAAAACCTGTACTTAAAAAATATTATATATATAATTTATCTAGAAATATATAGATAAAGTAATTGAATATTTGTATTATACGTTTTGAAAGAGAAGCATTGTTCTTCTTTTAAAAAATTATATGGTTTTATATCTGATTTTCCGAGTTTTCTTATTGCAAATAATAGTTTATTTATATATCTGCTGAAAAACATGAAACACAACAAACTTATACACAAAAACTTGTTCAAAATTTCAATAACTCAGCAACAATACAGCAACAAATTAGCAAAAGTTTAACAGCCTTCTCAATTAACAGACAGCCGCATTACAGCTTAAAAGCATTACAGCTTAACAGCATTACAGCTTAACAGCATTACAGCTGAACAACAGCGATTGGCACGATATTTGAATCGGAAGCACAACAACACATCTGCAACAAAAATTACCGTTAGAGTTAAAATAAATACAGCTGAATTCTGCTTGTGTGTCCTACTGCATGTATTTTGTTTTTGTAAGCTCGCTTGCGATCGGCACTCTGCTTGTGCTTAACAGAAAGAGCAGAAACATGTTAGAGCTTAACATGTATTACTTTAACATGAAATTCCATGCTTACATGCTTTAACTTAACATTTATTTCCATAACTTTGGAGTAATTTTAAGTATTTCGTGACACGAAAATATGATAATAAACCCTGCACATCTCTACCGTCAGCTAATATGCGGAGAGCTCAAAATATTTCGTAATATTTCTATTTGTTTGTTTGTTTTTGCCAGCGTCAGTCACAAACCAACGAGCAGCCCGCTTGGTAAATTTTTTATTGCATGGCAACCAAAAAGCGACAAACTCGTCATGTGAAAACAGCAACGAACGATAACAAACATCAATCCCTTTCTGGGTCCATAGGTGTGGGTGTGTATGTGTGTGTGAAGGCTGTCGATCTCAAGCCCAAGTCTGACACACGGGGCGTATGAATGTTGCTCATACGCCACCATTCGTGCCGCCATTTTTCGATAGGCCGTTGACATGCATCGAGCTGCAGGCGTATTTTTCATTTATTTTAAACAATATATAGTTGTGTCGTAAATATTTGCTCCCTTTTTACACTTTATTTGCATATGGGCGGGTGTGCATCTAAAAAATATTTCAGTTTATCCATCAGCTGCTGTCATTTTTCTGGCTTGCACAAAATGTAATTAAAACTGTCCTTGTTAACTTTTTATGGACCGCATCTAATGGGAGAGAGGGCTCATCAGTTTTTATAAACAACAATGCTACAACATTAGATACATACTCGTATGATTTATATGTTTTTTTTTTTTAAGTTTTAAAGTTTTTACTTAGCCAGTAATATGTTTTATTTGTATAACCTTAAACCATAAATTTTCCATTGAATGTATTAGTTTTCGAAGCACATTTTACACAATTTTAGCCTAAACAGGATGCAAAGCTAGCCGAGCCAACCACTTGAATGAATGATCCAATAATATACTGAAAAAAAAATTATTGCTCTATTTTTTAATATTTAAAAAGTAAACGTCAGCTTGTATTATTTGCGTTTTTCCGATGGCCTGGAAATGATAGACTGCCAGCCTTTTGCATTAGCAAGTACCATGGCATAATAAATCAGTTAGGGCGTCTAATTGGATTACCAATTAAACGTTTCAAGTCATTGCCATAAATAACAGTTGCTGCTCCAACCAAGTACTATATTTATTTGTACTATCAACGTAGATGTGTGAAGACAATGTTGAAACATTTCTTTTGTCTCATGCTGTTTGTCAGCTGCTGCTTTTGGTCACTTGGAGCCCACAAATTTCATAACCTTAGTCGGCTCATAGGTGGTGATGCTGCCACACCAGGAATTGCGCCCTACCATATCTCTATGTTTCCGATCAAAATAAATCGGCACGTATGCGGAGGCGCCATCCTAACCAAACGTTGGGTCATCACAGCCGGACATTGTTTAAAGAATGGACTACCAAATGACTTCAGGATTATGACAGGTGGCGAGCAGGATTTAAAGAAGATGGAACACGTAAAGTTCTACAATCCGGAGGCCTTTATAATGCATTGCAGCTATGATGTAACTGCAAAAACGCAGGATCATGATTTGGGATTGATACGCATAAAAGAGGACATCGTGTTCAATGCATTTACAAAGCCGATTTCTATGCATCCAGATCCAGTACCTATAGGCACCGAGTTGTTAATTGTCGGCTACGGCTTGACTAAGTTAATTCTCCCAAAGGCTCCAACTAAAATGCGAATGCTATATACGAATATAATCAATCGGGATGAATGTAGTAAGAAAATGGGGAAAAAAATAACTGCGGGCGTCATCTGTGTATACAAGGCGGTCCAGAAGGGCATCTGCTATGGCGACTCGGGTTCGCCGTTCACCCTGAATGGTAAGCTAGTGGGTTTAGCCAGCTGGGGCAGGCCCTGCGCTAGAGGTTTTCCCGACATGGTGGCAAGCATCGCATATCATTATAAGGGCATTAAAAAAGTTATGGAGAGGTACAGTAAAAAAAATATTAATGACGAATGCATATCATAAGTGATTAAAAAAGTCAACGCATTTTTTATGAATCTACCGCCGTCTCACTATTTATTGTTACCTTAACAGGAAGCTGCAATAAAAGGAGTGTTTTACAATGACGTTCCAGCTAAGCAATTTCCGTGATTTAAATGGATCCTATATTGAATAAATATTAGCTTCGAAACATAAAACCCTGCTCGTTTTATTCCATAACTATCGCAATTTTTGATGTTATAATGTAATTGTTCGAAAAGTAAAACATGTTCTTTCTATTAGCGACAAAAATTATTTTTTTTTTGATGGTTTTTTATTATTATTTTTTATTCCTATAATGTTGTGAATCATCCTCCATATTAGTTATATAATTTTTAAAACTGCAAATCATATCTTTTTAATATCTTTTTTGCCGGTAGCGCCGTGATTCTAACCGAGCTATATACACAGGAACGAACTCACATGATGGGATTCCTGTTAGCTCGCTTAGCTATGACAGGCCCCAAAAATAAATTCGACTGTCTTTAATGTTTTTACAAGGTTTCGATAAATATTTACCAAAATGTGGCACTGCAGAATAATTAACAAAAAGGTACAACTTGTCAAGCTACAAGAATTTTAATTTCGATAGCACAAAAATCAAACAAAACCCGAAAAGGAAGTCAAAGAGTTTGTTAAAAATATTTATAAATTGTTTATATTTTAGATATAAAAGTAAATCGTATAAATGAACATCTCTGTAGTCCATTTATACGTTGTTGTTCAGATTTAAATAATTAAAAAGTGAAACAGGCTTAGGAAGGATTGGCTACTTTTGCCAAATATTCAAATTCTGGCAGCAGACTCCTATTTGCATTAATCCTAACCCTAATTGTATGGATGGCTAAAGCGATAAAAGTGCCTGTCGGAATACATCAGCCCCGACCACACATGTTTAACGAACCGCCAACTCATTTTTCTGACTTTTGACAACTTCAAAAGCATTTCAGTTAAAATTGTACCCTTTCCTAATTTTTATTTGAGGTCTACAAACAACAGTCGAAATCGCGTACAGGTTTTTTCACCCTCGCAATACAACCACAAAGCCATCCACCCAACCATCCAACCATCCACCCACACACACTCACATACTCCAGTCCCCAAAGGCACACACACTTTCGCCAGGATAAGCAAAGGCAAGCAACATAGTAGTGAGTGCATTGACAGTTGTGCGAGAATGATGACGAGCAGGATAAGAGGACGAATGCTGGGTGGAGCTGGCGAGTGGGTGATGACGTTGACAACGATGATGCCACTAAGTTTTCGACACAGTTGCCACGAATTAATACCCGCCTGCTAGCCAGTGAACCATTCCGTCATCCAGCTATCTACGAGCATGTATAGTGTCTATCTATCTATCTACACCTCGTATCTGCCTTTCCGCCTTGCTGCCAGGCTGACGCTGTCAAGTGGCAACAACTCGCAGCCACTTTTGCCCCAAGGCCAACGAACGCGTCGCCCTCACAGACCGACAAACCGACAACCACCCACTTGAGGTCTTTAGCTATGGACCTGCATGCTGTATGGGATGTGTATGTAGCTATTGCTGCCTGATGCTTCATGCCTACCATAGAGTATAGAGTATAGTAACTGCTGCATCCGTATCACACACATTTTGCTTTTGTACTTCTGCTTCTGCTTCTTGTTCGGCCTTTCATGACTTTCACTTGCCACTCGCGCCAAAAGCATCACGGCATGTGGCACTACTCGGCTGTTGTGTTTTGGTTTCCATCATACAAGTATGAATGGCATTCTTTGTGCGTTTGTGTGTGTGTGTGTGTGTGTTTGCATTTTCGACCGAGTGGTGCCCGTAATTAGAACTACAGAAATCGGAATGAAAACATCGCTTAGAGGCAGAAGGGTACTTAAGCATTCTAAGAGCACATGATGTTTTAATTGGTAGGCTCATGAAAGGTTGTTGCCAAGCTTTTTAATCCCAGCTCAATTATATTTTCGTATTTCGCGCCAAATTAATTTCAAATGGTTCTATTAAACAAAGACCACACTTTTTTTTTACAAATTCGAAAACAAAAATTGAATACTCCTCTAATTTGTAGATAATTTATGTATACATACAATATTGTTACTTAAAAAATACTTTCTTAGATATCAAAGAATAATTACGATTATAATTCGATAATTAAGATTAAGCTGCTCTTTGTTGGAAATATTTGTTCAGTATTTTAAATTTTAGCGAAAAAAATACCCTCAAGGAAGAATATGAAGAAGAAACCGGAAATCAAGTGAACTTTGATTTTGCGTTAATTTTAGTCTACGGTATAGGAGTGTATGTATTGTTTTATTCAAGCACTTTTTATTTATTACTATGCGATTAGTCTAGATCCCATGACGAGACGAATAAAAGTTTGTTTGTTTGTCCGTCCATATGAACACCTAGAACTTGTGAACTACTTATCAGAGCTAGGGACACAAAACTTGAAATGTAGGCTTTTCGTATTGTTACAAACCATCTTTAGCCACATTATTTATATTATTTTATAGCTGCAAAGTGAGCGACTGATGAAAAAATGCACTCTTATTATATAACTTTGAACTGTTTTTTAAATATACCTTCACCAAATGAAATATCTATAAGGTCTGCAAAGTGCGTCATGATATTTTAAAGTTCTATCAAAATTATATTGCTGTCATAGAAACAAAGCTCTAACTTTGACTTCAAAATAAAATACGTATTTCCTTTCCGGAACCATACGTGTCTGATTTCACTGAGCAAAAGAGCTTCAATATTATAATAAAAAAATAATAAATTATAATCGAAATTGTTACTTTATGTCTAATTAAGTAGAATTCATGTCTTATAACCTACACTCTTTAACGTTAACTAATAATAAAATCATACAAACTTTTTGTGAATATATGAAATGAAATATAGATAATATCTTATGATCTGTGCATATATCGATTATAGACATGGCTAATTGGTAATACTTGTAGAGCACTGACTACTTTGACCTTCAGCTGAAGCTGTAACTTTTAAAATAAGATTAACTTTTCATAGTATGTGAGCTTTCTAAATCGAGACAAGGAGAAAAGGAACCACGGATGGTTTCCACCTTACATTCTAATTGGCGAAATAAGCTCATTATTTGAACGATGCAATTAAATAGCTGATATTTTCTTTTGAGAGTGGGGAAGTGCGCTAATGGGACCAGATATTTGGTAAGATATATATTTAAATTGGGGTGACAACTTGAACTATACATATGCACAGCTTATATGTACATAATAGCTGAGAAGTTTCAAGAAAATTCAGTTTTTTGCTTATCTGTGACAATCAGTGGCTAGCGCTTCCCCCTCCCCCCTGGCCCACAATCGAATTTGTGAGCATAAACATTCCACAACTAGATGACCAAGCAACCTTGGTCAAAACGATTTACACGAGTTTCTGATGTTATAGACAGAGTGAACAGAGCAAAAAGTGGAAATGCTAACAGTAATGATATGTCACGTAAAGCGCGAGCATTCAATGACACAGCGATAAATCGGCGACATCAAAATTACGCAATCGTTGCAATAAAGCCACCGACCGAAATGACATGACAAAGAATGTACAGCAATGCAATACAATTGCAGTTGCAGTTGATCGGTGGGTGTTGGATAGTGGGGTGGGGAGGGGTGGGATGGAGAGGGGGTGGCGGACTGAGCGGATTGGCTGCGGCAACTGTTGCTAAGTGCAAGCGCAGCGGAAATTAAAAAAATATAACAAGAGTAGGCAAAAAAGAAATGTAAATTAAAGTTGTCATTATATAGCCCCCCTCCCTCTCCAGCTGGTCATGGCTACAATGACCACACACACACACACACACACACACACACACACACACACAGAGGGAGACACACATATACACAGACATCAGCACACAGGACCAAATATAATTGCGCCTGCCTGGCTAGCTGGTGGTTGGCGCTCGTTTGGCAGCCCCCATTAAAATTGCAGCTACTTGCAGTTGTTGGCGTGAGTGCAGACAGGCAGTCTCTTTCGCACACACACACACACACATTCACCCACCACCACCCCAAACACACACACCCGGACATGTTGTCCTTTGTGTGAGCTGACCACACTCGACGCCCAGAGCTCGTTCGTTGGGATGCTGCCTGCCAGCTAGCCAGCCAGCTAGCCTTCCTTCCATCCTTCCATCCTGCCTGCCTGCCATTTGCCGTTAAAAATGTGCGGCGTCAACTGTACTTTTGTGCTGTTTGCAGACACGCACATCAACGCACACACACACACACACACATGTACATATGTAATTCACATACACAGAGATACACGGCATTTTTATATACGAATTTTATTTCAATTCATTTAAAAATATGTAATGCTTCCTCCTTTTCTCTGTGTGTGTGTGTTCTTTTTTTTTGGCGCTCATCCTTTCGACTTTTGTGCTTCGATTTTCAATGGTTTTTTGCCAATTGCTGTGGCTACTGCACCACCTCCAACCCAACCTCCTCACCACCCCCCATATGCTGCCACTGCTCGTGGCTTTTAATGGCCCATCTCCCCCACTATACCGCTATATGTGTTGTGGGAGGCTTATGGATCGGATGCCGAGCACCCAATGGGGCTTTGGGTGTTCGCGCGCATTTTTTTCAATAATTAATTTTTTGCGCGTAAATGCAATTTGCATGTGAATGAGCACATGTGTGCGACTGTGTACTTATATATAGTTCCTATATAAATATATATGTATATATGTGTGTGTGCGTGCATGTTTTATATAATATAGGCAGCGCGGTTTTTTTCATGGGGCTGCTGGACGGTTCAGGTTTAATACATTTTTATTGCATACTTTTGACGCGCACTCATGCCATCTCACTCTCACATTCAGACTATTTGCCATTTGCTGGTCACTTCGCCGTCCCATTCTAGTGCGTGCGTGGAGCACACGTTTTGGTTAGCCTGTACTTTTTTCTAGAGTTTCATTAAAATTCATATTATTATCTACTCTGCTTGTTGCAAATGGGATCAAACTTTGATTTACTGACTTACTGA